GTGCTGCAGAGCTCTTTGCTGGCATAGTCATTCTAGCTTTGCCCTTCTAAACATGTGCTATCAAAGCTTGAGGGAGCACATTGCGGGGCCCCCTCTGCGTCTCTGGAGATGTCTGGTGATCTTTGAAGGTTTTAGTGATTGTCTTATTTTCTATCGCCTCCTCTTCCTCCTTCAGTTCTTTTTCACTATATAGACCAGGCTGGCCTCCAACTCCTAAGAGATCCATCTACCTCTGCCTCCCTACTGCTGGGATTAAAGGCTTGCCCCATCACCGCCCGGCTGTGATTTTCTTTTAAAATGGTATTCCTCAGGTTCTCACCTGTCGAATATATAAACCCGGAGCCACCATGCTGGTGCTGGCAACAGAAACCTGCTTCTCTGAAAAAGCAGCAAATGTTCTTAACTGAAGAGATATTCTGGAGCTCTCAATTTATTGATTTTAGTACATGTTATTAATTCTTTATGAATTGCATACAACGTATTTGGATCATCTTCACAGCCCCTCCCAGATCCACCACATGTCCACGTCCCTGTTTTCCCAAATTCCCATCCTGTAAGGAAACAAGAACACATCAAGTCCAACTATTTTTGTTGTTGTTCAGGCTGACCTTGAAGAGTAGCTCTGGGTGACTTTGCATTTCTGATCCTCCTGCCTCCATTTTCCAGATGCTGGAATTACAAATATGTATTACAAAGCTTAGTTTATTTGGGGAGGGGAGGGGAAGGGATGATCCACCCAAATTCACTCTACCGAATGAGTTTCTTCTTCTTCTTCTTCTTCTTCTTCTTCTTCTTCTTCTTCTTCTTCTTCTTCTTCTTCTTCTCCTTCATCATCATCATCGAGACAGATTTTCTCTATATAGAGAGCTCTGGCTGTCCTGGAATCACTCTGTAGACCAGGCTGGCCTAGAACTTAGAGATTCTCCCACTTTTGTCTCCAGAATGCTAGGATTAAAGGTAAGCACCACCATATCTGGCCTATCATCTTTCTTTCTCTCAGGTTCTGCTATTTTCTCCAGTGCTATCACTTTCCTTCCCCAGGTCACGTGTCTGTATTGTCCTAGTCTCTAATTCTGCTTCGTTACCTCAATTAGTAAGTTATTTTCTTCTGGCTTCATGATCCTTCTTTCTAGTTCTCATTATCCCTTGAGACCTTTGAGAGCAGCTCGTGATTTATTTGCTGAACAGAGTGTCCTGTTCTCAGTCAGCTCAGAGCAGCCTCCAGGCACTGGAGTTGGTGTTTGTCAGATGGTTCCCCGAACTGAAACTCTGCCAAGTGCCATCACCCTGATAGCTCCTGTGACAGGCTCTGACATCAGTATAACCCCAAACAAGTCGCCGGCGAGCTGGTGTAGGCAACATAACTTCTGTGGAATCTGTTTTTTGGGGGGGAGGGGTGTTAAGTCTGAATTTCTCTGTGTAGTCCTGGCCATCCTGGAACTCATTCTATAGACCAGGCTGGCCTTGAACTCAGAGATACACCTGTCTCTGCCTCCTGAGTGCTGGGATGTGCCACCATTGCCCAGCCTTTTGTGGAATCTTAAATTTAAATTTTGTCCTTCCAGAGGTCCTGAGTTCAATTCCCAGTGATTACATCATGCCTCCCCACTATCTTTAATCCATATCTGCATGCACACATGCATGCCCAGATAGAGCACTCATATGCAGTAAATAAAATTTAAAAAAGTAGAAATCTCTTTTGCTTATCTTTAAAAGTACCCAAACTTTGGGGATATGAGTGATTACCCCACAGCAACCTTGAAATAAATTCTGTTTTCTCTTTCTCTCTCTCTTTTTAAATGTTTATTTATGAGTACACTGTCACTGTCTTCAGACACACCAGAAGAGGGCATCAGATCCCATTACAGATGGTTGTAAGCCACCATGTAGTTGCTGGGAATTGAACTCAGGACCTCTGGAAGAGCAGTCAGTGTTCTTGACTGCTGAGTCATCTCTCCAGCCCCTAAACTTTGGTTTAGTGAGTCCTTCAAGTTCATTTCCCTAATCTTTTCTTTTTGTTTTTTCCAGACAGGATTTCTCTGTGTAGCCCTGGCTACCCTGGAACTCACTCTGTAGACCAGGCTGGCTACAACTCAGAGATCCACCTGCCTCTGCCTCCTGAGTGCTGGGATTAAAGGCGTGCACCACCACCGCCCGGCTCTCTTTTATTTTTTACATGCATGTTTTACCTGCATGTATGTATGTGTAGCATGTGTGTGCCTGGTGGTCGAGGAGTTTGGAAAGGCTCATCAGATCCTCTGGGACTGGAGTTACAGGCCATTGTGAGGCATCATGTGTGTGCTGGGAATCCAAGCTGGGTCCTCTGCAAGAACAAGTGTTTGTAACCACTGAGCTACCTTCCAACCCCACAAGCATCATGAAGTCCTAGAGCAGTTACTAACTCCAAGCTACACAGGTCACTTGCAAAGCTTACCATCAGTACAGAGTCTAGTGTTGCCAAATGTTCTGATTTTTTAAAAAAAATATTGTGTGTGCACATGCATGTGTGTGTGTGTGTGTGTGCATGCACACAGGTGTTAGAGAACAGTTTGGTGAAATCTATTCCCTCTTTACACTTTTATGTCGTTTCTAGGAATCAAACTCAAATCACCACACTTTCATAGCAAATACAATTACTATGGAGAACATCTCACCAACCCAAATGTTTTGATTTTTAAAAAATTCAAGTTTGGCTGGGTGGTGGTGGTGCATGTCTTTAATCTCAGCACAGGGGTAGTGAGTTTGAGGCCAGCCTGGTCTACAAAGCAAGTTCCAGGACAGCCAGGCCTCCTCCCTCCCTCCCTCTCTCTCTCTCTCTCTCTCTCTCTCTCTCTCTCTCTCTCACACACACACACACACACACACACACTCCAATCATTTTTAATGGTACAGTTAATTTTTACTTTACTCATTTGTAAATCACTAGGATGTAATCCTAGGGCCTGGCACATATGAGGGAAGTGCTCTAAGTTAATCTGCTGCATAGACTTTTTGTTTTTTAAACATTACTTTTAGACAGGACTCATAGTTGTCCAGGCAGACCTTGAACTTGTGACTCTCATGACTCAGTCTCCTGACTAATCAGAATTCCAGCCCCGAAACACCCAGTCTAGCAAACTTAAAAGAAATTAAGACAGGGCTGGTGAGGTGGCTCAGCGGTTAAGAGCACTAACTGCTCTTCCCAAGGTCATGAGCTCAAATCCTAGCAACCACATTAGTGGCTCACAACCATCCATAATGAAATCCAAATTAAAAAAAAAAAATCCTGAGCAGGGCAAGAAGAAAAAGGGAAGAGAAAAAAGAAAAGAAGAAAAAAAAGAAAAGAAATTAAGCCTAGGGAACCATGTTACATGCTTGTGAACTTGTGCTGGGAACTTGTATTGGTCCTTCTTGTTCACTTTTTAAGACAATTTTTTGCTAGGTAGCCCTAGTTCATGTGGAATTATGTCTGGCTCTGCCTGGCTTCAAATTTTCGGTAATCCTCTGCCTCAGCCTCCTGATTACTGAGATTATAGGAGCAATCCACTGTTTAGCTACAAGTGTTTGCCTTTTGGGATGAAAGGTCCAGTCTCAGAAGACTTGGATAAGCTACAGCCAAGAAGCAGGCACAGGATGAATTCCTGTAGACCCCTGTAGACCCCCACCCCGCCTCTCCCCCCTTACTCCTCTGCCCCCCCACCCCCTCAACCCCCCAACTCCCAAGCGTTCTCCTTGCTGAGTTCCCCGCAAGAGCTCCACCCTTCTCCTCACACTCCCGTGCTCTGCCCCAAATAACAGTTCTGGGTGGAATGAGAAGAGCAGTCACTTTCTTCCCCTTGAAGCCGTAGTTTCCAAGGTCTGAAGGTAGCATCAGGATCTTGGACAACTGGATCAGCCTCTTTTTAAAAGCTATTATTATTTTATTGTTCCTGTATGGGTATTTTGCCTGGATATATGTCTATGCGCCATGTGCATGCAAGACACTTGGGATTCAGAAGAGACTGTCAGGTGTCCTAGGAATACCATCATGTGGCTGCTAGAGATTGAACATAGGTCTTCTAGAAGAGAAGCCAGTTCTCTAAACCTGTGAGCTATTGCTCCACCCCTCCACCCCACCCTCTGTCTTTTAAAAAACATAATATTTTCAGATCTCTGTGATTTAGAGGGCAGCATGGTCTACGTAGTGAGTTCCAGGGAAGCTAGAGCTACCTAGTTGAGACAACAAATACATAGTATCTTATTTAGTTCTTCCAGAACTCTGTACAATGTAGTTGAAAACTAAACGCATCCTCCATACCTACCCCTATTCCTTTCAAATCCACCCTGGGTCAGTCTCTATACACCTCTATTATCGAGCCTGAATGAGTCTTTTAAAATCCAATTTCTCTCCCATCTTGCAGACAGGTAGACATCAGAGTGGGCTACAGAGAGTTCCATCCTGTTTCCTAAGTGCACTCAGGGATCGAGCACCCAGAGGGCTCCAGAGAGTTTATGACCTTCTGATGTGTGGTGTGCGGGAGAGAATGGCTCTACCCCTTCCATTCAGCTCAGTACAACAATGCTGCTCGTTTAAGGACGACTGCAATTTTGTCTTTGAATCATCAAACACTCAAGTCTGTTCACAAATGAATACATATATTTTTTTTTTTTTTTTTTTTTTTTTTGTTGAGACAGGGTTTCTCTGTGCAGCCCTGGCTGTCTTGGAACTCGTTCTGTAGATGAGGCTGGCCTCGAACTCAAGGATTCAAGGATCCGCCTACCTCTGCTACTCGAATGCTGGGATTAAAGGCATATGCCACAACTCTCGGTGCATCTTTTGTTTTTCTGTTTCGTGTGCATAGATACCGCTGGGTATAGTAAGCATTCAGAGCCAGCACTGTGGATCGGACACTTTCTCCCAAGCCAAAAGCAGGTGCAGCCGAGGCTAGGGACCCCAGGACCGGAACCCTCGAAGCTGGGAACCCTGGAAAGCTGCAGCTGAGTGGGGGAATGGGATCTGGAAGGGACTTCCTGTTGTCCTTAATCCCAGCCTCCTCCGGGCTTCTCCGTCCCTTCAATTCTGGCTGCAGACTCGTTTCACCCTCGGGAGGGGGCTCCACCTCCGGGGTCTCCTTTGCTTCCACTTTGGTGAGAAGGGGATGCTAGGGAGAGCACCTGGAAATCGGCTCGTGCAGTCAGCTTGCAGAAGGGGACAGGGTCAAAGGTGGAAGGCTTCAGGCTGGCAAGAGATAATGAGGGAGCTGGACCCAGGATTGGGAAGATGAGGACATGACTCACCCAGACCTTGACCAGGATGAACGTACCCAGGTGAGAAGCTGCAGCTTGAGAGAACGGCTGACAGTAGGCAGTTGATTTGTTGGTTTCAGGCGAAGCTTTGTGACCAGCTGGGCACACAGCAGGTATCATCGCACTGGCGCCTCCTTGGCAGGCTCTCGGCAGAAGTTTCTGCACCTCATGACAATAAGCCCTGATTCCCGTTCAGCCCTCACTTGCCCTCAGCTGGCTTCACCGAGATTTGGGGTTCTTGCTTCAGTGACAAACGGGACAATACCATTCCTTTCAAAGAAACCAGAAAATACCATTCACCATGGGGCTCCGCAGAGGCTGGCAGATTTCATAATCACTGTGGTCAGGCATGGGAAGTACGGGGCATTTCTGAAGTGTTCCTAAGATAGTAATTTCTTTCCTCTTTTCCAGGTTCTTAGCTAAAACCTGGAGGGGGCTCGACTAGCAGGGAAGAGAACAGTTTGCTATTTTTCCTGGCTCTGAAGTGGAAGATGTCTGCAGACAGTCAAAGCGTCGCGGCTACCGAGAACAGGAAGAACACCTATGAGGTATCCTGGGATCCTAGCTAGGGAGGGATGCCTTGAACTGGAGGAGAGGGTGTTTTCATAACCGATACCTGGACAAAAGGAAGTGTAAGAGTCACTGTGAGAATGGATTGTCACTGGGCAGAGATGTGGGAGAAGAGGTGGAATTATGGGAAATAGCTTCCAACTGGTCTTTATAGTGTAATTGTTTTTGCTCTGTCCAGTAAGGGCCATAGCACCCACAGGGAACACAGGGAAGCCCTCTGCTTACAACTTTCTTCCTCTTGGGCCATGCCTCCTCATGGCTTACCTCTCTGGGTCCAAGTTCTAGTTCTGCTTGTAACTGTTGCCTGCCTACGTGTGGCATGGTGTATGTGTGTGTGTGTGTGTGTGTGTGTCTAATCGGCATCTTTGTGGGTCCAGGCTCGGACCCTGGGCTTGGAGCTAGAGGACTCTGACTCAGCCTCAGGCCTGGTGTGTAACCTTGGGCCGCTGCCCTGCTCTGTGGGACCTACTTGTGCTGTGTAAAGTTGACTCATTCCCACTTGTCTTACTGGTCACTGGTAGGCTTGAAGGAGACAATGAGTGTGAGTTATCTGTAAGCACTTTGCCAGTGTGTAAGTAACGACTACTGTGGTACATGAACCAAGAACACCCAGAACTACTAGACCAAGTCAGAGGAATAGGGTTCCTCCCACCTCGTGTTGCTGGCGGTTATAAATATCAATATATGCTGCCGGTTATAAATATCAATATATGCCAGGACAAGTGCTGCCATTTTTATGCTGTAGAAGCTCAAAGAATTGTTCCCAGTATCCAGAGTTCCTTCCTCTGATACCCGATGAGCCTTGTGTATCTGCATTCTCCGCTGATGTCAGACTCTGTCAGCTGCACACTGGTAGAATAACAATAGTAATTACTTGCATCGTTCTTTGTTTATCTAGAACTTTCTGGAGCATACAACTGTCTCTCATTCAACCACTAGCTCCTTATAACTGTTTTCTGCAGGTGGTAGAGCAGCTGAGTCCAGACCACCAGTCAGTCATGGGTATGACTAGATCTGGCACTGAGATACTCTGCAGGTCCCAGGCAGGGAAGGGAAGGCCAGCTGGCTACACCAAGGTCTCACCAGGTGTTCCCCCAATGCAAGGGGGGCTTTAGAGCTTGGTGGCTCAGGCCCTTTTTGTGTCTTCCAGCCTGGATGTGTTGGCTTCTTGTGGCTGCCTGGGAAGTTCCCACTAACAAAGAGGCCTGGGTTCACTGTAGTAGAAGGCCCTGCTCCCCTGGATGGCTTACAGGAAAAGAGGCTTTTCATGGCTCTCCCTATTCCCAGGGCGTATGTGTACGGCTCCATCTTGTTCTCTGAACCTCCTCCCTTCCTCTTCTTTACTTGTGTGTGTGTGTGTGTGTGTGTGTGTGAGAGAGAGAGAGAGAGAGAGAGAGAGAGAGAGAGAGAGAGAGAGAGACACTGAGACACTAAGGACTGCACCCTGGTTCTCAAACACATTATAAGCAGCCTTCTACTAAGTTACATCTCAAGGCCTCTTTCAGCTTTTTATTTTTGAAACAGATTTGCTAAGTTTTTTATGTGGCCGTGAACTCTCTTTAGTAGCCATGGTAGGTCTTGAACTTTCTATCCTCCCTTCAGCTTCCCAGCTGGCACCACCAGACCTGACTGTGTCTTCTCTTCTTATCAAGATCTGAATCTGGATGTAGGGTTAAAGTTCCAATGATTTAATCTCTCTTTCCCTCTCCTCTCCTCTCCTCTCCTCTCCTCTCCTCTCCTCTCCTCTCC